GTCTTTGTGTTCGCTTATACAATAAAGTCCAAGCAATATCCAAGGGTTAAGCATAAATAAATTCAAAGATAGTATAAAAAAACACTTATTAAAAAAGCTTATTACAGAGTGTCTGATTATATTACAGACAAAAATGCTTGGGTTTGAACTGTTCCAATCATTCCAACAGGTGTTCTATATTAAATAAATCATGATTGTATTGACGTTGTAACAACATAATGATTTGTAAATGTTGTTACATTATGCTTTTAATGTTGTGGAGTTTTCTTCGCTCGTTTTTCTCCGCAGCTAAAAAATATGTCCAATAACGAGTGGTAGGGAAAAAAATGTTTGGACGATTCAAAAGTGTTGTACTATACATCCAATTTGAATAAAGATATATTGATTTCTGATTTCTGAGTAGGGTTCTTAAAAAAAATCTTAATCTTAAAAATTTAATAGGAGATAAAGTACCTATATATTTTTCATTATGAGTAGATTCTATGCTGCTAAGCGATAATTTAAATCACCCGCCATTGCTCTATTTTCCAAATAGGTACAATAATACTAACATAACATCAAAACCAAATTCTATGAGCTTTATGTTCAGACTATTTATCTATTATGACTATTGATAATATTTCATGTCTTAATGTTAAGCTAGAGGTCATAATCAAATGAATACAATCATAAGTTCATACAGAAAGAAAGAAAGAAATAAAATTTTTAAAAAATTGAAGGAAATAATTTATTGACCAATAACATTGAAAATACTAAAAACACTAAATAAGGTCTACTAGGCCCCTGCCTTAGCACAATGCCCCAACGACCCCAAGACCGCTGCGACGCTGATATTCTGGCAGGGCCTAAGGTTTACGTGAATAAAAGAAGTCATATAAATCACACAATAAAAATATCAAAAACAAAGAAATTAAAAAAAAGATGAAAAGGCTGTTTTTCTTTTTCTTTGCCTTAAACGACAATATAAATAATTAAGAAAAAACACTTTAATAGTTTCTAGTCTATTGGTGGTCTGTGGAATGTAATTAACTAATTAATCATCATGAGCAACATATTTATAATAATAAAAACTCAACTAGTCGTACAATATTGGTATGAATAACTTTGTTTTTCTGAAATGCCTATTTCAGAGGGTGAGATCTATTAGGTATGTACATATACATACAGCATCGAAACTCGATTTAGATTCAACTTTGGAGCCCAGATTGATTGAATGCGAGATGATAATTCGGTTGGGCCTTTGTGAGGCAAAGATGAGGCACTGACCCATCCCTTAACAGGTCTTGATTGAGACGTCACTGTTACGGCGCACAAAGAGCAAATAGACACGTGTCCTATTGATCGTCACGTCACTTGAGACAATATCTAATATCCGTTTAGGGAACGGTCCGAAGGTAGGATATATTTTGCTCGTGAGCTAAATCTGAATATAGCGTTTTCAGCATTTAACTTATGCATTCATTATCTGGAGCTCCTACGTGCTTCGGAAGGCACGTTAAGCCGTTATACCGGCTGCATCTACAGTCGTAAACACCCACTAAACCGCGCTGGACCCGAGTGTGTACTTCTGTAGTAGGTCACGGCCTGAAGGACTGAAATGGATTCATAGCAATGCATTGGAATACAATTCCCAAATCAGATAGAATCAATAGATAGATAGATAGATAAATCATTTATTCCCATAAGTACAGCACACAAATTCAAGTAAATAAATAGAAAAATTAATTACTAGGTATGTAACTGTGTGCCGCAACGACAGAAGAAGGCAAAAACTCAGCGATACCTTTGCTCTAAGAGCAAAGCACTGGTTTTCAGTTCTGCCTAGAAAGCGCGTAACGTGAAACGACATCGACGTGACGTGATTAATTTATTATTAAGAGAATTAAATTAGATTATATTATTATTAAATTAAAAAGATTATTAAATTATTATTGTTAAATTATTATAATATAACTATGTATATTATTATCATTCACCAAAAATTATCAATTATTACTGTTGTTATTACTTTTTAGTATTTAGATTAATATTGAATTTTTGAATTAATATTTACCCATCAGCATTTAACACACACAAATTGTGACACACCTATTAGAAAGCGGCAGAAACCGCTACCATACGACCACATGTGGTTATTCCTAACCTTTGCATTTCTAGTAATATTAATTTTAAATGTTTTTTAAATATTTGGCGAGATATCAATGCTCGCTCAATGCTCGTCGTAACACATAAACCAGACTTTCTTGATTCGTGCGTGATAATAAAAGAGGCGCTCGATGGCGCGGGTGGTTAGCGCGTTCGGGTGCGATTGCTGAAATTAAACAACTTTCGCAGTGGTCGGTCATTGGATGACTGACCTAAAATCTTCAATCTCGAGTTCATCCGTGCTTCGGAAGGCACGTTAAGCCGTTAGTCCCGGCTGCATCTACAATAGGGAAGGCCTGTGCCCCAGCAGTAGGGACATTATTAGGCTGATGATGACGAATAAAAGAATAAAATGAAATGAATAATAATTAAAGATTTGGAAAATGCTTTCAGATATTAATCTGAAAGCATTTTCCAAAATGCAATGTCGCCTAGTTAGCACTTTCGTTCTTCCTATTCTAACTATTGTAAAGGTGTGTACTTTGGTAGGTGGAAGACGATGATTTAACCTGCATTTTTTCTGTTGCCTATATCAACTTCAACTTATCTAAAACACTGTCGAACAAATTGATTCCTGGCCCAATTGACATATAATTCGCATCATCTATTCTTGACTTTCCCTATGGATGGAATAGGGAGATTGGGCTATGACTCAACACGCGGGCCCAATGCGGATTGGTGTGTGCTAACGACTGCAGATGCAGCCGGGACCAATGGCTTAACGTGCCTTCCGAAGCACGGAGGAGCTCGAGGTAAATTTTTGGTCACCCAGCCAATGACCGCCCACGGCAAAAGTTGCTTAACTTCAACGATCGCGGCTGAAAGTGCTAACCACCTGCGCCACCGAGCCTCTCATATGCATCTCTAATAATAATTATAGATAAATATGAGGTGATATTCATCTTTAATTATAATTCGCATAAAAATGACAAAACAGACAAGTTTTCTTCTAAAGAGAATGCGTAATGAACTTAGGACTTTTAATAACAAGAAACTCTATTAATGTGGATCAAAGATGTTGAAAATTTGAGCTTTGTTTTTAATGCATTAAGTCATCTTGTAGATAAAATTCGAATTGTAATTTTAATTTAAAAAATAGGGTTTCGAATTTTCTTGTAAAATCGTAAATATCAGAAATTCTTCCGATTTCTTGACATTACAAAAAAAAACATAAATCGATGGTCAAAACTCCAAGTAAAACGTTAACATTATGTTACAGGAAGGCGGCAAAATCTGTCATTTTAATTCAGATTGATCTGAAAATAACAAGTTTGTTTCCAGGGATGCGTAAATTTAAGCATATTTTGCAAAGGTTGTAACTTCAGCGTCACTTATCATCAGGTGGGGTGGAGTCATTTGTCGAACCTATCTATTAAAAAAACCGGTCAAGTGCGAGTGGGACTCGCGCACCGAGGGTTCCGTACAAACCTGAATTTTCAAAAATATTTTTTATTATATGATGTAACTAAAAATTTACGGTTTTCGCAATTTTTCCTTTATCTATACTATAAGACGTTACTTCGCACTAAATTTCAAAATTCTTAGTTCACGGGAAGTACCCTGTAGGTTTTGATTCCCGTGCGAATTTCGAAAATTTGCGGAAATTTGCGGCATAAACGGCTGTATCTTTTGATTGCTTTCACTTATAAATTTGATTTTTTTACAGCTCTAAGGGACAGTAGACCCGAGTATCAGATTTGAATTTCAGTTTGATACCTCTACGCGTTCCTGAAAAACGGTCTTGACAGACGGACGGACGGACAACAAAGTGATCCTATAAGGGTTCCGTTTTTTCATTTCGAGGTCCAAGTGTATCCGATGACCCTAAACTTACACACTATATTCGTCCGAATAGTAGTGATAGAGGCTGGTTCGTAAAACGAACCTAATAACCGGAACGGGTAAAGATTTTTCTATTGAAATTTTTTTGGAATCTTATATACGATTTGATAAAGTAAATTGATCTGAAAACCAGAAGAAATAATGAACATTTGAGTCATGGTGTCATTAAGTAACTGCTTTTACAGGATTCGCATACGCAGCTTTTCTATATGAACAAACTCACTTTTCACTACATTATCCCCGGTTAATTTAAAATTAGAACACAAATTTCAATTCCGACAAACTCACTATTCATTCACCTCGAATTTGTTATAAGTTTGTTCCTATAGATAGCACTCCTGGGAGCTGTAATAATGGTCATAATTATATCTCAACAAGAATAATTAGTTTAATCAAGATAATATCCACAAATAAAAATAATTATTGGTTACCAGCCTATCTCCCAATAACAACAATTTCGGAATATGCCATTGCCAACTACACGGGAATATTAACTGCGGTAAATCCATGTTTTTCTACCGCATCAAGTTAGTTATAAAGAGAAAACAAATGTAAGTATGAAAACTTATTTTCCCTGAGCTCGTCCTTGCTTTGAAAGCTCTGTTCGGAAGGCACGCGCTTCCGCTCACATTAGCAGCCGTAAGAAGCCCCGTTCTTCTTTTATATATTTAAATTGTTTCGTTGTGTGTAGTTACTGAAATTTTGTCCCCAGGGAATACGGAGATAAAAAGTATCTTCAATGTATGTTTAAAATAAAAAAATAAATATTTTCAACACTCTCACCAATTAGCCTAGCCCCAAAGTAAGCACTATAAGGCTTGTGTTATGGGATATTAGGGTAATGGATAGAATACATATACTGTACATATATAAGTATATTAATATAGAAATACATATTAAACATACATGAATGAAGTACAAATTCTCGTATCCATCAGAAAAACATTGTCCATGCATTACATTGTCCCTCAAAAATATGTGAACAATTTCTGAATCCTACTTCATCGCCGCAGGCAATTCGGCTGGGACACGGTGACGGCCTTCTCCCAGAACGAGGAGATTTACTCGCTGGCGGTGAACGAGCTCGTCACCCAGCTCGAGGCTGCTAACATCACCTGCGCCGCTTCCATCACCTTCGCTGAGTCGGACTTCAAGGAGCAACTGCAGCAACTCAAGGTGAGCACTAACAATTTCAGTTCATAAGCATTTATCAACTTCATCTTATTACTGCTGCGTGCTGAATGCGCTTCGGAGTTACATAACCTAATTCCACCTTCACCTTTTTACCACAGAACTCCACAACCCCGGCAAAACGCCACAGATATACCGTAGAGGTCCCGCAAACTCGTACTAAACGGTTTCCTTCCGCCTATATCGTCAGAACAACTGGGTTGTGGAACTCTTTGCCGGAATCTCTGTTTCCAGTCACCTATAATCTGGGCCTCTTCAAGTCGCGAGTGAATCGATTTCTTCTAGGCAAGCGCGTGCAACCTTAGACTACGTCACTCTAGTCGCTAAAAAACAATGTCCATACTGCTGAAGCAAATTCTTTCGATATGGATGGATCATGAAGATTGGGCCGTGGCCCACCACGCGGTGCTTTAACGTGCCTTCCGAAGCACTGAGGATCTTGAGATAGTAATTTTTTGGTAACCAATCCTGTGACCGGTGCAAATTGCTTAGCTAGCACAATTGCAGACGACACGCTAATCTGTAGCACAATCGAGTTTGACAAGTTAATATTTTATTTGAATTTCCATCCAATCGAGATGGCAAAATATAAAAAATATAAGTTCTCGGCTGGTAATCGAACTCGGGCCGCCCGCGTAGCGAGCGAGCTTTCTACTACTGAACCTTGGTGGTTCAATGGTACTTGATATTGATAAAGTCTGATTTCTTTATAAAAAATAAAAATGTAATGCAACATGTTTCGCTCGCATTTTATATGAAAATTCGAAACATTTTTAATAAAGTTCTTCAAAATCATCAGCTCCTTCAAAAATGGTTCGGCTTCGTACGTCGTAATAAAGAATCACAAATGAGTACACGTACATTTTTAGGTTTCTTTCATTGAATAAAACTAGTTTTTAAGGGTTAATGCACGAAACTTTATTATTTATTGACGTTTCGCAGCCTTTTCAGATCTGCATCGTCAGAATAATCATTATTCTGCCTTTTCAGATCTGCATCGTCAGAATAATCATTATTCTGACGATGCAGATCTGAAAAGGCTGCGAAACGTCAATAAATAATAAAGTTTCGTGCATTAACCCTTAAAAACTAGTTTTATTCAATGAGTGATGTGCGTGAAAACCTAAGAAACAAATATTCTTTCATTGAGTTCGTGAGGCTCCCAAATATCGAGGTGTTTTTGTACCCAGCTTTATTCAAATGCGTCAAAACTGTTTTGTGGTCAATTCTCAGTTCTTCAGTTACGTCTGTAGTGTTTGTTTTTAAACAGAGCGTGACACTGACACACGTAGGACAGCTGTTTTGTCTATGATAGCGAACCGCTTACGTCAGCGTAGCTGTCAAACTTCATTGATTGGGTTGGTAGCCTTGAGGGAAGAGTCGATTTTCCTATTCGACTAAAATATTCGCCTTGAGACTTATAAAAAAAAAAAAAAAAAAAAAAAAAAAAGTAATCAGGCGGGGAATCTCTGTGGGGGCGCGTGGATGAATGGATGGAGTTTGACAGTTGTTGAATTTTGAATAGTCTTTCCCAGATCGATTTGAGTCCTCCTTATCGGGTGCTGTTTTTAATCGATTTTGAATTTTACTCGAAATTGAATTTCCTCGCTGATTTGGGTAGGTATTCCCGTTTCCTCAGCTTACGGCGAGCGTAGGTATATAGTTTTGAGTTTATTCTTCGGTTCGTCTCGAATGTGGCGGCTGTCTGTTTGACTGTGGCCTTTGCCTTCAGTTGAAGTGGGAAACAAATCATAGACACATGTTTGGGAGAGGACGATCCGTCTATCATCTATGAGCAATTGTCAAAACAACTTTTAAAATTTCACAATCTGTTTGTGGTACAGTTAACTTTTCATCTTTTCTTCTGCCCAAAGTATAATAAACGGCATATTATTGTCGTCGAAGTCGTGAGATAGATCCGAAAAGTTTATATCCCGAGGGATATTGGCGGAAAAAGCGCGGAGTCGCTAACCGAACTGAGTTTCGTGGACGAACACGAACCTTCGCAAGGCGATTGCAATAATAAGGCGGTTCAGTTGAAGTGGGAAACTACCCGTAGCTCGACGTAAAGGAAATAATAAACAATATTTTGTAAAGCAACACACTACTACCAGCAAATAGTTGTTTTGCTGTCTGGACATCGGCAGTGGGCCAACTAAATCGATGCTGATGCACTGGAATGGCCGACAGCAAACTTTAGGTTCTCCCATGAACCCAGGAGTTGCCAGTGAACTGTGTTTGTATGCGTTGCAAACCGAGCAACTCTTAATAAAATCCACGGTATCCTTATACATACCGGGCCAAAAATATCTTAATTTTAAACGTTTATAAGTTTTTGCCACACCAAGATGAGCCGCGATTGGTTCAGAGTGGTTCTGTTTAATTATAGATTCCCTACTCTCAATCGGGATAACCTGTTTCCACTGGTAATCACCACTGAGCTTATTACTACTTTTTGTGAAACGGTATAACCTACCATCAACTATCTGAAAATTTGGACAAGCTCTAGGTTTGTCCGTACAACGTTTAATTATATTATTATACCACGAGTCGGCTGTGGCGTCAGTGATACCTATAGATGCCACGGGAACAGAGCGGGATAACGCGTCAGGTACCACATTTTGTGAGCCACTGCGATGTTCTATTACAAAATTATAGGGTGATAATCTACAACCCCAACGCGCCAAGCGACCGGTCGGATTTTTAAGCTTCAGAAACCATTTTAGACTAGCATGATCGGTAATAACACGAATGCGGCGGCTGTCTGTTTGACTGTGGCCTTTGCCTTCAGTTGAAGTGGGAAACAAATCATAGACACATGTTTGGGAGAGGACGATCCGTCTATCATCTATGAGCAATTGTCAAAACAACTTTTAAAATTTCACAATCTGTTTGTGGTACAGTTAACTTTTCATCTTTTCTTCTGCCCAAAGTATAATAAACGGCATATTATTGTCGTCGAAGTCGTGAGATAGATCCGAAAAGTTTATATCCCGAGGGATATTGGCGGAAAAAGCGCGGAGTCGCTAACCGAACTGAGTTTCGTGGACGAACACGAACCTTCGCAAGGCGATTGCAATAATAAGGCGGTAACTTGTGATAGGAAGCAAAATACTTACGGATAGTTTCATATTTCGAACGGCTTGTACGTTCCCCTCAAGAAATACTGGAGGACTAACAAGGAGACTTTTGTTCTGTGCACGGACCAGAAGGGACGCGGGAGTTTATTTGCCAGCCGCTCTCCGGTTTTATGTAACCCGGCCGTAATAGCAGACAGATTATACACAGCTTAACCTATCATAATCAAGGTATTTCTCTACTAACCCCGGGTGAACGTGGAGAGAAAACACCAGGCGAGGTTGGACCCCGACTTACCCATTTCCATATATAAACATATAGCTATATAACTGGTTATCTCACTGAGAACTAGAATTAACTAAGTTTGTCACCAATATCGATCAAACGAGCCGTAGAACCTCTGAAATCCACTAAATAGCTTATTCAGTCTAGTCTATGTGGTATTTGTGGATAAAATATATTAGTAAGTATTATATTGTAAGTACATGGTAAAGTGTTATGAATGTCTGATATTCATATAATTATAACCTTTCATGACAACTTGTTGGTTTATATACACATTAACTTTGATCTACTGTATTCAGCTTAGATATTTATAATTAGTGAAACATAGTTATTATATAAATAATAAACATAGTTAGACTTGTTGATTTATATAAGCAATAACTTAAATCTACTGAAGTCCTAGGCTTTGGTATCTAAAGTGGATAAAATATACTTATAACATTATCTTAATTTTTTGGTTTTCTTTTATTGTTCCCCCGGTGCTCTGAGTGAGCTAAAGGAGGGCTGTTGAAGAGAATTTAACATCACAAGTGGCGCCCGAACAGGGACACAAGGCTTTGTAGCATTTACTTTGCTCTTTTTTTTGGTCATTTTTGCTCAAAAAAGGTTGATCGATATTGGTGATTTTTTTTAATTTTTCTTTTTTCTCTGAATTATTTGGCTTATATCCAAAGATTTGTTTATCTGGTTATACTGTGTTGTAAACATAATAATTTGTAACATCGGATGATCGATATTGGCTCAAAATTTACAATCAAAAAAGTCATATTTACTTTTTTTATACCCTTATTTAAAGAAAAAAAAAAAACCCTCTTGTGTACTGATTTTTGGTAGGTTAGTTCACCAACCTCACTTTTTTGAACCTAACAAGAAGAAACCTAACATTGAGAAACCTAATCCTTTAGAACCTAACAATTTTCAACCCTCAGGTGTGAAACCACACTTGTTACAACACTACTATTTTAACTGATATATCTTAACAGGTAGGTGATTTTATTATCATATTAATTACACTTTGTTATTGAACATTTCTTTATTTTGCCACACTAGGAGTAATTTTAACTTACAAAATGGAACAGAGGCCAATCACTTTTAACTTGTTACACAAAGATGAGTTGGAATATGAAGTCAGAATTAGGGGTGCGAAGCCTGTGGACGGGGTGCCTGCTTTAAAGGCACAAGTACGTGCTTTAAATAAAGATTTACCTTCTGATGAAATATTAACTTGTGAAGTAGAGATAGAATCAGAGTTGGATATTATTAGGGAGAAATTAGACAGTTTAGATGATCTTACTTCTCAAACTTCTTCTAGAGCTAGTTCCCTTAAAGCACTGAACAGAATACAATCATTAGCACATCACTTGTTTCATAGACTTAGTCGCTTAGATTCTGATAATGATGACAGCATCGCCTCTCAATTGGAGGCGCTGCAAGAACGTCTGGACAAGTTTCTGGTTAAGTTAGATAACATTATGCACCATTTTAAGAGTAGTTTAACTCAGGTGCCTCCGGAAGAGAATAGCAGAGTCCATGCTGCTTCTGAACGCACTGGGAATGCTTCCCCTGACTCTGGTGCTGCCGTACATAAACTAAACATACGGTTTAATGGGAAAACCTGTGTA